TGTAACGCGATAACTGAGGCGCGAACTACTCGCGCCGCCGATAGGTGGCGAGAACCGCGAGTCGCGGTTTCTCGCGGCATAACCGGTTACCAATCGCGTATATAAGTCGGCGCGAGATACCGAACTACCGGAGAGCGTCCGGTACCGTCTTAGCGAGCGCACCGATCCGAGCGAGCAAACCGACGCCGAACATAGCTCTCCGACGATTTTTGGCTGTAACCCTAATTCCTCCGACAGGGGGTGGACGTACGGAGTGTGTTATCCGCAGCCTACAGTCCGCCGGTATCCCCTGTATCTCCCGGTCCTGTCGTCGTGGCAACGCTACGAAACGGGGACGTCCCGACCGCCAAGAAGACACCCGTGCGTTATCGGCAGAGTGTCCTTGGGCTCACGGTCTCCTGCCAGGGGAGGACGGCGTGTGGTATCGGCAGCCGTTCCGACCTATAACCGGCAACGTGTGGAACTCCGCTCCTACTCTTCCTACCCTACCCAGCGACAGTTGTATAGCGGAAACCGACCCGGACCTAGCGACTGTGCGATTCCCGGCGACCGCGGGCTCACCGCGAGCCCACCGGTGTTATAAACATATTTAGATTTTTATGATCATTTATAAAAATTAGTTTAATTATTATTATATTAGGAATATTATTTATAGAACAAAATATTTTAAAATGAATACTTTTAGAAATATTTGCATTAATTTTTATTGGATTTTTCATAAATTATGGAGAAAATAATAAAAAAGGAAGACTATTATATTTTTATATTTCAACAATTATTGAATTATTAATATTTTGAGCTCTTTTAGTTTATTTTGGTTATATATCTTGAAAATTTTATAGAATTATTGATCAAGATAAAATTGTAACTAAAAAAATTATTATATTTTTATTTTTAATAAAATTAAGTATATTTCCTTATCAATTTTGAATACCAAAATTATTTCCTTTATTAAGATGAGATACAATTTTTTTATTTTCTACAATTAATAAAATAACTCCTATTCTATTCTTAACTTCTTTAAATGCATTTAATGACCCAGTATTTATATACTTTTTAATATTAAATTCAATTATTTAAAAAAATTTTAGCTTATTCATCAATCAATCATTCAACATATATTATTCTATTATCATACTTAAATACTTCATTATCTACAGTTTATTTTATTATTTATACTTTTAATTCTTTTATTTTTATAAAAATTTTAAAACGTATAAATTTAAACACAAAATCAGATTTATTATACTCTTGTAATAGAAAAATAATAATTTTTTTATTTAATATATTTACAATTTCATATAGAATATTACCACCATTTATATTTTTTATTATTAAATGATTTTTTTTTTATGAAACAACTTTATCAAATTCTACTAATTTCTTTATATATATAATTATATTAATAAGAGTTATTATAACTTATAATTATTTAGATATAACTAAATTTAGAATTTTTCATAAAAAATTAGTTAAAAAACAAATTATATTACAAAAATTTTATATTAAAAATAAATCATTATGTAAAATTTTAATATTTTTATTAAATATATTTATTTTTTCAATATTATTTTATTAATTTATAATTTTTCAATATTATTTTATTAATTTTTAACTAAGATTTTAAGTTAATTAAACTTTTATCCTTCAAAGTTAAATATATTATATATTATCAATTATTATAAATCTTAAAAATTATTTAGTATTTGAAAATATTAATTTCATAAATAAATTTACAATTTATTCCTTTTATCAGGCATAATACTATTTTAATTCTTAAAATAAAATTTAAATAAAAACTTTAAATTTATAATTTAAATATAATTTTAATAAATTTATTATTAATAATTTAATTATATATACAGGGTGTCCGCGCCAAAGTGTTACAGCGTGATATCTCATG